CAGTGTCGAATGACATCTATGTACCAAGTTCCATTGAAATGTGATGATTAGTACTTGAGATATCAGTGGAAAAACCGAAAATTGACTAATCATTATGCAATTTAGGTAATTAGTATCCACGGATTATTACCAAAAACTAATCAAAACCTAGCATTAGTTCAGAGCATCTATGTACCAAGTTTCATCAAAATCCAATGAGTGGTTGTTTAGATATCAGTGGAACAGTCATGGAACCACTAAAAAATAGCTAATTATCATGCAAATTAGGTAATTAATATGCACGGATTTTTACCAAAAATTAATCAAATCTGCGCATATGTTCAGAGCATCTATGTACCAAGTTTCATCAAAATCCAATGAGTGGTTCTTTAGATATCAGTGGAACAGTCATAGAACAGCTAAAAATTAGCTAATTATCATGCAAATTAGGTAATTAACGAGCATGGATTTTTACCAAAACCTAATCAAATCTGCGCATTGGCCCAGAGCATCTATGCACCAAGTTTCATCAAAAACTGATGTATGGTTCTTGAGATAGCAGTGGAACAGTCTGACACACATACACACATACACACACACATACACACATACACACATACACACATACACACATACAGACACACTAACTGCAAAGACTCCCATTTTGTGCTTCGCACATGGGAGTCAAAAATACTCTAAATGCTTTAATAATATCGCAAGTGACAATTTTTTTTTTTTATTTTGCAAGCCAGTGAAAAAATTTCTAGCAGTGAGAATAAAACGGTTTACAGTGTACTAGAGGTTTTCCATGAAGACCATGAAGCCGTACTGGGACATAGAACGGAGATTATTGGGTATGATATCATTGACAGTGGGGACATTGTTTTTTTGTGATATGCATCATTCATTATATAGCAAATCTTGCTAAAAGCATTCATATTTTGGAAAAGTGTTATAAATCAACTCTATAAAATAATGTGACTATATCTAGCATGTTATTTTCTACCCTGTCTGTCTTGAGATGCATTCAACAAAACAGTCAGCAACTTAGCTGGCAATGTTGCTGTAATGGTGTATGAAGCAATATAGACCATGCAATACATGTACCTTCATGTCTGAAATAGATTCTATCTTTTTTTGACTCTGCGATTTTCTCTGAAAGTCATCCATCAATTCTTTTATATTAGTTCCAATTTCACCAAAATTCATATACATATTCTGATAAAAAAAATCAAAAACAGGAATGAATTTGGTCACATTCTTGATGTAATCATGCAAGAAATAATTAACAGACTGATAAACAGGGGCATAATTAACCAGCTCTGTTTAGTGTTTTTCGAACGAAAACTAACATCACGAAAATGATCCCAGGGACAAATACCCATATTTGGGCAGTAACACCTATAGGTGTATCAAAATTATTAATATCTTAAAGCGCGGTGGTCGTCGCGTGTTCGAATTTCATGTAAATAAACAATGTATTTTACACGCGTTGTATACGTCATTATGAGTCCCATATCGAACAGGACGCGGAACGACGACTGTCACCCTTTAAAATAAAGACCTGTTTACAAACAAAATGGTGCTTTTTGAGTTTTTTTAAGGTGACACACAACAACTCACATTTGTATAAAATTCATCATGCTCAGATGAAAGTACTACTTCTTGTAAGTCTCTGGTTATTCCCGGAACTGATGACAAATCAATTCTGTTGTTGTTGATACCTAATAATTCATGCACCATTGCTTGATATGTCCACTGTAATTAAACACAAACATCTACAATGTAAATATACAACAAGAATCTGTGCTATAAAAACATCTACAGTGTGAATATAAAGCAAGACTCTGTGCTATAAAAAAAAACAGAACAGACGGTCTTAGACATGACTGACCTTAAAATCTTCTATTGGTACACACCAAGGAATGTGGCAAACATAGATCTTAAAACTTTTTATTTACCCATAAACTACACAGAGCACCCCCCACCCACACCCACACCCGTCATCCCTCATTAGAATACATATTTACCTGGTTTAACAATGGTGTAACACAGTCATCCTTTCTGTCCAAAATCAACACTAACGGCGGAACATCAGTTCTTCTGAAATCAAATAAACCAGCGTCTTTCGATATGACTTGCTAAAAATCAAGAAAGAAAATAATTGTAATATCATATAATTTTTAACATTTTTAACTATAATTTGATAAGCAGTGTGATATGCAAATTCTGTATGAATACATCTACAAGGCAAGGATACTTGGACATGTGACATGGTAAAAGAGAAACAAGTGTTCTATATTGGTGTTAATCCATACCCTAACATTCTCAGCCAATCGTTTTGCCATTTCTGATGAATTCTGATACCTTATCATTGGACATTTCTTTAACGATAACAAGACTGCAGTCAATCCGGCGCAAACTCTATTGAGTGCTGCTGGATTCCAAGTGATACCCTGAAAAAGAACAGATGAGAAGTAAATAAACAAATCTTGATGAAACTCCATCATGATTGGTTAACCTTTATATGTACATGCATATCACCACACTGTAAAATGATAAATTTTCACTGGATTTAAATTTCGCTGATTTACCATTTCAGGCATATTCAGTGGGTTTTAAATTCACGGTTTTATCATTTAAATAATGTGTTCTATGCTCTATTTTACATATTCACTAGGTTTTAATTTAGCGCATTTTCCAGTCAGCGAAATAAACAAAATTAAAACCCAGTGAATAATTAACCCCTTTATAGTATTACAATCTTTAAATATTCATTTTGTCACTTCTCAAGATTATTTGGAATCAAAACACATCAGAATTACTAATTAGAGCTACATGTACATGAAAACACAGGAATGAAATCCTACATGACTTCTGCCTCATGCTGCACACCTCACTATGAACTATGAACGAAAACTAACTTTGTCCTACGTTTGTACCATGCATACTGTAGTTACTAGCTTCCTATACTTTATGGCATAGAATCTATGCATCATTCTACTCATTTTACTCCAAGAATGCCTAGGCATGATGCTAGTAATTTTTAAATGATTGATTGGCTGACAATGACATCAACCTGAGAATCATCCAGTGATGGTGTGCAGAATTTAAACTGCCCAATGAATAAGTTCAATTCAAAATCGACCATTTATGAAATTCTGTATTTGCATAAATCTGAATAGGTAACGAGATCTTAATAGCATTATACCTAGGCGTTAGTGGAATGACTACAGTGATTCTAGTCTATATACTTTCTGACACCACTACAGATATTAACTTTTATTAATTAATTGATATGCAAAATATATGTTTACACTCCAAATTAAATTTTACAATAAACTACACACTTTTAAAGTATCAACAAAAAGAAACAAAAGATGGGTCACCATGATGCTTCACAGCTCAATTAACATGTTGAAAAGACTCAATTCTAAAACAACGTACATGCATACAGGTAGCATGCTAATTAGGATACTTACACCAAGACCTACCTGACAGCAACCAACAAGGTTGAATGAAAACATGTGTGGACTAATAGCAATATAATCACCATAGAATTCCTGTAATACACAAAAGACATTACTGCACACAATACAGTCAAACCTGTGTTTTATAATAGTGACCACCTTTATGTAAAGACACCTGTCTATAGTGACCACTTTTAAGCACTTCCAAGGCATAACACATGAGCAACCTGTGTATAAGGACCACCTGTCTATAGTGACCACTTTTAAGCACTTCCAAGGCATAACACATGAGCAACCTGTGTATAAGGACCACCTGACTATAGTGACCACTTTTAAGCACTTCCAAGGCATAACACATGAGCAACCTGTGTATAAGGATTACCTGCCTATAGTGACCACCCACAGAGCAATATAAAACAGTTTTAATTTATTTTGATTTTGATTTTTGGTCAACTCAAATAAATGTGTTTCTCATTATTTACTGAACAAATTGTATAAGTTGGCAGTCCATACAAAAATAATCCAACCTTTATTTTATATAAAGACCACCTGTCTATAAAGACCATTTTAATGAAGTCCTTGAATGAATGAAGTTGCTATACACAGGTTTGACTGTACATATTTAGACAACTAGTACCTTGCCATGTCAAGCCAATAAATTTCTTGATATATCTACGGCAATAAAGTACATACATTTAAAAGTCTTCTGTTTTCACATACCTGGACTTCACGGACAAGTTCTTGGTCATCAGCTTCAGCTAGCAGCTTCACATCACTTTTACTCACAACATTGCTAAAATCTTCCCAAAATATGAAATAAATAATAAAATTATCTATAACATGGATGGTCATATAAAAAGAAATTTCTTCCATTTAGTGACTGTCTCCTCCCTGAAATGATTTGTAGACAGCTGTATTCAATGAGTTGTCCGAAACCTAAGACAATGATTACTATATCACCAGATAAGTAATTTGGCTTTACCATTTCCACACAGGGAAAGGGTACATTATTTTAGACAGTCACACAAACTTAACCATAAATTACAGTCCTTGTGAATGCTTATTATTATATTGCTAACTGGCAGAGAAAAATCAGTGTATCACAGTATTAATTGTCTTAATACTTTAAAGTAGTTTTAATTAGAATACGGAATCTGAAACATCATGTAACATACACTTTACAGATCTCTCTTTAATAATATGATAACATGTGGCACTCACTATGAAACAAATAGATATAGAATGGTATACAGAAGTTATGTACTTACAAATAAAATAGAGCGAATATTTTGGATTTTTCAATTCATGACACAGTAGCTCAATATTCTCCTATAAATATAAAGTATCAACAAAACAGTTACACTAAATCAATGTTATTTATCAAATAACGAGATATCAATAAAGGTAGAGACCAAGACGCATTTATTTAAATGTGTACGAGGGTATTAAATTATTCAGAAAAAGATTTCACACATCGCATCTATACAACAGTGGTAGAGATGAATGTGATATAACTAGCACAGAATTACAGTTGATGTCAATGAAAGTTACGCTCAAAACTAATATATAACAATACCTTGGTTGTTGAGAATTTATTAGACACCTCTCGTTTCAGTATGAGCAATTTTAAAATTAAATGTCTATGGAGATTTCAGCACGGTAAATGAAAATCTGCAACATTAGTGATGTATTGTTTGGTCTTCAATAATCATGAACATGCAAGAATTTATAGAAATCAAAACATAAAAAGCCTTCATCTTCAATAACTTACTCTGGTAGGTCTTATAAGACATATACACTTCAAATGTTTCATATTTTCTCTGTTTGGCGAGTCAATTCTTTCAAACAGGTAGACTTCTTTCTGTAGAATCTCTGACTGAGCGTAAACCATACTGACGTAACTTGTCTAAATTTCGAGAAGAAAAAAAGACAGAAATGTTTGGTTAACATGTACTAATTTACAAAGAAATTCAAACCAAGGTCTGTACACATCTCATAAAAAACTGTACACTCATAACTGTACATGTCCTGACAATGTAGGTTTGGGAGAATTCAAAGCATGGGAGCCTGTGTATAATTAATAGTTATTAATTTTTATGGCTTGAATAATGCTTGTAAATAATTTTTGAGCTGCTTTATATTTATATTTCCAATCACTCTAGCTCAAAAAAGGGAAACTACGATATTTGGCGGCACAAACCTCCAATTTTTTCAGGTAAGTTTCTACCAGTGTAGAAACCCTTTCATTTCAGTTTGAATTGTGAAATTTATAATATAAATATGAAAGAAAGGGTTTGTGGTATTGATGCTAGACTACTAGCTTTCACTAAAGATGTGTATCATAAGTATATTACTATACACTATATACAGTTACACTATATATTACTATATGATATGTACATGTATAGTTTGATGATGGTGTACTTCTATTCTGTCACAAATTATGCAAAGTGAGACAGCTTACAAAATGTATGGATGATAAAACTGCTGATAGGGTGACAAGGTCAACATTGCCCAAGGATGGAGATTCTCACTGGTGGTGTGCCATCCGGTTGGGACAGCAGGCCTGGGATGTCTGGAAGCACTACCGATGTCTCGACTATTATTTCCAACATTAGTGGAAACCAGGCCTTGGTTGGCCACTTGGGTGCCACAAGCGTCAAGGTGAAGGCGTGCCCTTGTCAAAGTTTCTCCAGTACCCGGTGAATCAGTAAGATCAAAGATCGATAATGTGCCTGTGGCCCATGCTCCTGGAGTTGGCAGGAGTGTCACATACGTTGAGAGCTTGACATTCCAGGGTGTGGTGAATTTCCATGTCTAATTCCACTATTCACTCTAGTCGACAAATGGAGTTGTAACTTACAAGTAGCAACATATTCAAATACATTGTAGAGATTATTATTATTATTATTCAAATAATAACAAACGTTATGTGGCGTGCATGGGTGATATTTTTTTTATGATGTTTTTGCGTGATATTTGTTGCCATTTTGTTTGAACCACTTTTTCTTTTAGAGGGAAAAATTAGGGTTAGGGTTGGGAGTAGATGAGAGATAGGTATAATTTATTTTTGAATTGTTTTTCGCATGTTTTGAGGTTTGAAACATTATTTACCTAAATTTATCTAGTTCTATGTATAGGGATGTGCTGATCGGGGTGAACCAATGGACAGTGCCCTTGCTGTGGAAATCGCTTGTCCGAATTATATGATATTGTGACGTTAAATGCGGGGGGGCCTTTATGGGGCTACACCGTATTCAGGATCGGGGAGCTTGTCTTTAATACCGGTCTAATAGTCTTTGTCTTTGGTAGCGTGCTTATCTTATAAGTCTCCTCCTTCTCAGCTCGTCCGCTGTCACAGGGTGGGGATCGTTTGGTGAATGTATATCACCACAACTGAGACTGTGCAGAGAAAGAAATATACCAGTAACGATTATAACAAATTAACACAACACAATATATATGGTTTCCTGTACTTTAATATACAAATAACAGGGATGCTGGTCACTGGAACCAGCAAGGAGAGGGATACACTGTAAAATAAAATAAATTAGAGACTTGATCGATGCTGCAGGGAACACTCCACTCTCCATTGGACAGCAATGTGCAATGTTGCGTTCCTTCGTATCTGGCACACTGTCTCAGCAGCTGCACTACAATTTAAACTCGTGCTCTGTGTCCAGGGAGTATCGGCAACTGCACTGCTATCTGCTGCTACTGGTAGCACTGGTACAACGGGAGTAGTTCAGCAGTGAGCTTCGGTGGTTCCTGTTGATCAGCAGGATCACTGCACAGCACGTCTGCATATGTACCCCTGTATAGGGTACAGCTCACTGGAGTCAGGAATCAGCATCACAAGATGTTACAGGATCAAGTCAGGTCACCTTCCTGACCAAAGATTTTCCCTTATGTCTCAACTTAAATACCTTAGTTAATTTATGGCCATGCAAATAATAAAATGTATATAACGAAATGATTGGTTATCTCGAAATAGTCGACAAATCAGTGTACAGAGGATGCCAATTTTGGTAGTGGAATAAACCACTCTTAATCCAAGCTCTACCAATTTAAAGTAGGAGACTCGGGTCAATGATGTCATATCTATTTTCATTGCCAACAACACTGGGCTCAGCACATTCCAAGGTATTTCACAATCACCATGTCACTGTCTGAGACATACCATTATGCCACAGGGAGAGACAGGATGTATGTATCTCAAATTCTGCTGACAACACAATCCAGTGACTGTATCAGCGGTCTTAAAAATAAACATGTGCAATGGGTTGTTGCAACGTATCCAAACATGTGCGCTTTTATTTCACACAGCCAGGGCTCTGTACTTTTAACTTACAATTTATGTCACAATATGTTTTAGTACTGTAAGTTTTTGTTGTTCTGAATGTTTTGTTTTGTTATTGTTATTTTTGGACTTTACTCAAGATTTCATTGGTACGTTCCAAATAAAAAAAATTCTATCTTCTATTCTATCTTCTATCTATGATACCCCCCCCCCCCCTACGACACACATTCCACATAGAGGTATAGAGTTCATCATGTTATTGTTAAATGAATAATGAATAATGAAAAATAAAAAGGAAAAAAACAAATATTTTTGTAATATTTGGGCAGTAACAATCATGTACTGTGATTGTTCATACCTTAGAACATGGGCGTTGTTTTTTATATCAATGGAAAGACATGACAATTGTTTTGACCTCAATGGGTTAAAAACTGAACTCACCGTATCTTTATCCATCAGAAGCACTTTCATGCCTTGACCGGCCTCTTCGATCATCTTCGAAACATACTGTTTTACTGCCAGTATCACATTCATTGTAAAGTCTATTTTTGATTTCAAAATCTTTGATTTACAGTGAAATTTGATTAAATTTCCGAAATATTAATACCCGAGACTCAGACGTACACCATATTAGTTTGTGCGTTCGTGGTGACCTCAGTTCTCTACTCATGTGATGTAAACAGGAAGTAAAATTTAAAGTCCCGGATGTCATAGCTCTATCCGGTATCCCGCCACATTCAACAAGCTAAAATGGCGACAGCTACGAAGAGAAGAAAAGTTTCGGCGGGTACGAAAATGACGAAGTCATTGGCAGTTGCAAAGTCGGAAGATCATGTCACAGGCGCAATCGTGAGAGTGAAAATGCAAAATTTCATGTAAGTGTTTGTACTGATCGTGGTTTGATCGCTGATGCGTGCAAATGATGACGCATCGTTCGTAGATTTCATGTTAATAATGTTATCATGGTGGTCCTAATCATCGAAAAGTGAAACCAAAATAAATAATTAGTGATAATTATAATCCATATATTTATTATATCATATTATATCTAGAGATTTGCGCCATATCGTGAAGGATGTATACGTTGACATCACTATTATTATAAAAATAATTAGATAAATATTTGAAAAAAAATAACAAGACTTTGAATAAAGGTGACACTGCATGAAATGGTATTTTTCTGATGTCAGAAAAAATTACAAACAAATTCATAGTTTTGCGTAAAATCATATACATATATGGCATACTGTTGTCATGGTGCGAAATTACAACTATTTGTTCCAAAGAAATTTAATAAAAGAAAACTACATTATTACATAAATATGTGCAATGTTTTGTGTGAAAAACAATATGGAAATTGCGCTCTTTGCAGAGTGACACTGCAACCCCTTCGCAGAGTGCAATAATCGTCATTCGGCAAGTCGCACAATCGTGTCGCAGAGTTAGTTTTTAGACCCCCTTACATACCTCCATGAAGGCATCAATTGCCTTGATGCCCTTCAAAAAATAAAGACTGTTCATACACTATTTTTATTCACTAAGGCAATTTTATCAAATTTCTTAACTCCCAAGTAACTTTTATTGGAGTCTTAGGATTATTATGTGAACTATTTGATTGTTTGAAATTATGTAAATTATGTGAAATATATAGTAAACGTCAGATGTCAGTGCTTTTCACCATATCCTCACCCGGTTATCTCCTACAAATTTGTCAATTAGCTAGACAAATCAATAATTGGTGACGACAATCAAATTATAATAACATGGCTAAACTATTTTACCCCAGGTAGAAACCATTCACCTGTATAAAAGTGTAACTGCATGGATATTACTTGTTGAAATAATTTTAATATGTGAAAATTTAATTTGTGTAGGATTTATGATGATTGTGTATTCAAACCGGGACCTTACTTAAATGTCTTAATTGGACCGAATGGAACTGGAAAATCCACCATAGTATGTGCAATTTGTTTGGGATTAGGTGGAAAAACTGGTCTGCTTGGAAGATCCAAAGAGGTAATTTTGTATTCCATTTAATTATATTACTTTGATGTTGCAGGTAAAACCAATACAAACAATAAATGCAATAGGATGTATTAAGGAGGGGGGGAATTCAATATTATAATGCAAATCTAAATATTAACATGTATTGTTTTTTTTCCTACTAGTACAAATTTATCATGATCCCAATAAGTAAACAATTACAATTAAGATTATTATTATTACAAAGATTATGCCTCAACCCCCAAATTGTCTTCTTTGATCTGATCTTCAACTGTATACTCGGTATTCCACCTAACCTGAATGGTATGAATACTATCAGAGTATTAAGTGCTGAGAAGGTTTCTTAAACCTGACTTCACGGTAAAGCTGATTTAATAGCACTGATAGAATTTATTAAAGTTTATCAATATTTTGGGACTGTAATGTGATATACATACTTGATGAAGTTCTTCCACAATCTAGTGATTAGAAATGTTGTCAATGCAGGTGACTGTACTTGTTTCTAGGCCAGTCTTTTACATTTCTCAGTCATTGACGTCAGCTGGTTTCCAATATTATAGTCAGTCTTCTTAGGTTTAACATTTTTACATCATATACCAGCACATATGGATTAAACGATTTACTAATTCCAAATTAATTGGGAGTAAGTACAAATCGTTAAATATTTTCCCAAATGTTTCAAATTTATCTCACGTTTGCCCCAAAACATCAGTAAATCTAATAGTTTCTTCTCAGGGTACAACTCTTACATTTTTCTGTCCTTGAAGGTTGGTGAATTTGTAAAGTATGGTCGCAGTCAAGCTTTACTAGAAGTAGAACTGAGCAACCCAGCAGGTAATACAGTGATCAGAAGGGAGATAGTCAGACAAGGTAATGCATCTACATGGTATGTGAACAAAGTTAGAACAACATACAGGGAGGTAGAAGAGACAGTTGCCAATCACAACATACAGCTAGCCAATCTTTGTCAGTTCCTTCCACAGGTAAGTCACCTAATAAAGTCTAGAAATACTGTAAAAAGATCCATGAAAACAGAACCCTAGATTTGTTTAATTTTACGACAAATTCAACATTTTTCATCTTTCTCAAAAGTTTTTTTTTTTTTTTTCAATAATTTCAATTAGGACTTGGAAGCAGTGGAAATTATGTCTGTTTGGCTAAAATTAACAAAAAAAATGTGGATATCTTTGCAACATTTGGCAGTAAAATACTCAAAAGTCATGTTATCCTGCGAACGCTCTATAAATGTCGTTATTATACATCTGTCACCATAACGCACCATACAGCATGCCGTAATTTTGTGGTATTTTACAGGGTATTATCATCCTACCATATAAAGAAATGCAAATTCCAAATATGGAATGATTAAGCGCGTAACAAACATGGCTGCCACCAGGGTTTGACCGTACTCCACACAAAGAGGTTCGCTGATTCTGTTCTAAACTTTTTTGATTTCGACATTCCCATGACCTATCCTTGGAAGGAAAAGATGTATAATAATAAGGTTATTACGATGATACCTCAAAGTATGCACTCAGACAGTACGCCGTCTCATCAACCTCCATTGCACATCGGTCGATACTCCCGCTGTACTGTCTTTTAAGGTATCTTCGTAATAACCTCATTATATTAATAACCAAATTTTGTTCAATTTATGCAAAGAGTTAGAAAACTTGTTTCCATAATATCAGTCAGATGTGCTTTTACATATCCTCCTGTAGGACAAAGTGGTGGAGTTTGCCAAGATGAGTAAACAAGAATTATTGGAAAGTACTGAAAAATCTGTAAGTGCGACAAGTTACACTGCCTGAACATCAGAAGAATTGACAGAAATAGAAACAGATAAGAAACAACAAATCCTATAGAGACAATAAAAGAATAAGAAAAATACTTTAAAGATATAAAGGAAACTCACATTTGATACAAAAATACGCGATCATACATACCGGTAGTACATGATGCTCTTGTGCCATTCAAAATGCATTGGGTTACGCATAGTGTTCAGCTATTTGTTTTGCTTGCGACTTATGCCTCTATCTAGTAAACTCAAACTACATCACTATATTGTAACACAGACTTTAGCCCTTGCAATTTATTTTAATTACAGAACTGTTATGAATACATGTCACTAATACTCGTTTGAGTTTGGTAATTCATCATTATATTATATAATGCTTTTGATGTCTTGAAATCAACTCTATTTTTTGTGTATCTATAGGTTGGACAACCAGAACTGCATGACTACCATCAGACCCTGAAGGATTGTCGGAGGAAAGAAAAAGAATTGATACTAGGTCACAAAGAAGAATCAGAGATATTGGAGAAACTACGTCAGAAAAACATTCGACTCGAAGCCGATGTGCAGAGATTTGAAGATCGACAGAGACATGAGGAAAGAATTGAATCATTAGAGAAAAAGAGGCCATGGGTGGTGAGTGTTATACAGTGATTGACCTGACCGGCACTCAAAATTATTGGCCACCACGGAAATGTTTCCGACCAGGACTATTGTCCGATTGTTATTATAATTATGTACCGACCTACACGCATCCTGCCAGTTGTGGATTATAATTTGTAAACAATAGACCTAGTCACATGATTTGTAAACAATAGACCTAGTCACATGATTTGTAAACATAGACCTAGTCGCACGATGTGGCTTATAAACAATACTCATTATTTTGTAAAATTAGCACTTTTTTGTTTGTAAGTGAATACTTTCTGACGATATACAAAGTCTTTAAATTGAAAGCTAAAATTCTTTCAAAAAAAATTCAAACCCGATATAAAATGGTCGAAGCGGAGTTCATGGTCAGTTTACACAGTTTATGTAATTTTTATGATCATTATCATTCCGAAATCTTTGGGTTCTACCGGCATTACCATGTGGCATTCTGATTGATTAATGGCATTCTTGACCCATAAACTAATGCGTCACAAACATCATGGTGGGTCTGTGTTTTTTTTATAAAAAAACCAATAAAACTAAGTCAAAAAAAAAGAAGTAACATTTTTTGCATGGCATCATGACTGAGTAAGAGGAGTTATTGGTATAACCGGTTTATAACATCGTAAGTAAGTTATGTCACGTCATAACTCTCGGGGGTTTTTCTAGAAAAAAACTGCAAAAGGAAGCACTGCAATTCAGCGGCGCAAGTACCAAGTGGGGGAGATAGGGTTTTCCCTACTAGGGTGTGGAGTTTTTGATAATTCTAAGTTAAAATGGAGCATTCTATGGCTTCCTTAGGGCCAAAATTACTATCAGACAGGTCACAGTTGAAGACTGGCCATATGTGATCCCTGGTCAATCAGAATTTTATGGTTGCCAGAGGATCTGCTCCCCAGGTAAGGGGGCGCATGGCCATGGCATGAGGGTGCTGCGCCTCTGTTCCCTTATTTAAAATTACAACAATACGCCAAATAATTACGTAGTCGATTTTTTGAAGAGAATGTTTTTGGAGTAAATAAGATCATAAAATTCGTGAACATATTCCTGGCTGAACATTTCAAATGCATTTCATTTAACCTTTTACAATAGATATTAATATTACAACAATAATTTATTTGTTTCTGTTTTTAGTCTGCAGCATTCGCATTTTGAGAATGTTTCATTTTTAAATTGTGTAACATAATAATGTATTGACTCCAATAAGAAAAAAATATTTGCACTGTGACCAAGCTCATTAATATTCATATAGCTCATTAATATTCATGAGAAACCAACAGTCCCACATCACAAAACGATGAAGAAATTATAATTTACGGAATTATGCTCATGAATTATCTGCTAATAAGACGTGTCTGTGGATGCGCCTTTGCAGTTACAGCCGCCGATGGTTTTTATTAATTGTCAGAATTGTCAATATTATTTTAAAATAAACTTTCAGTCCATATTGTAACAAGTCAGTGTCATTGCACCATTTAAGTAGTTATGTAGTGAGAAATTCACACATTGCTGCCATAAAAATGATACTGATACATGATTTATTTTTCTCTCTGTATTTTTAAAAGGTGCAGAAAATGATAGTGTAAATATTATGGCATTTACCATACCATATCTGGTAGTGATATAATTAACACTAAACTTCATGAATGTGAATGATACATGTATGTACAATGGAAAATTGGATATTTTGACTTTCGAAGTCTAGGAATATTCTCTGCCATGTGCTGCTTGCTTGCTTGTTGGCTAGTTCCTAGTATCTCTTACAAAATAGCTTGCAAATAAACATTTCTGCCATTCTGGAACTGGTTCTTGATCGTACTTGGAAAGATTTTGTTCAAACTTGGTACATACATTGCACATTTGTTTACAAATTTAAAATGGATTGAATAAGACTGTCTGTTAGACAATTTGGTTTTAGAAATTGCTGTTCCAAAGCCATACAACTGATTGCAATCACATATCAGTATATGTCATGTCACATAAAATCATTATGACGTTTTGGGACTACTTGATTGCATGCATCAGAATACATATTTTTGTATTGGTGTTATGTTACCTAGTCACTCAAGTGTATTGATATATAAAAAGTGCTGTTGGTGTAACTGAAAATAGCATAATAAACAAGAATAGGTGGTTTTCCGTACAATTGCGAGATCTCGCGAGATGCATGAAAGACGCGCATCGAACGTCTGCCGCAAAAATCGAACGATTTGATTTTGAACTAGAATTTCTTTATTTCGTAGCTTACATTGACCGGCCGATCTTCGACAGAGGAATATTGCTTCCGAATACCCTTACTTAATCGAAATTGCCTATCATCAAATGTGGACAGCACATTATTAAGCATGGAAATGTCCCCAAAATACTTTCGCGTTTGTCGAATCCCACGCGATGTTTGACGCGACTACGATGCTATGACTTTTGTTTGTCCTGTTTTTACGTTCGATTTCACGCATAACGCGTAATTCTCGCAGTGAACGGAAAATGGTCTATCCTCTGGTTTCTTTAATGTTTCGTGTGTTCTTGAGTCAACATATCACAAACATGCATTTATTTCTGATTCAAAATTCTTATTTCAGTTTTGTTTATCATTGCAAGAGAGGAACAGGAACATTGTCATGTCAATGACTTGTATTAATTTATTTCTTGAATTCAGGAATATGACCTTTCTCGCCAGAGATACATAGATTTAAAGAAAAAGAAGGAGGAATTGGGTAAAGAATTCAATGAAGCTAAGAAAAAGAATGCTCCGATGCAGAAAAAGCTACTCGCAATTAATACTAAGATTGCAACTCTGGATAAACAACTCAAAGAGAAGGTAAAGTATTGAAACCTGCCTTGGCAGTTGATTACCTGTATTAACAGAAGTAATAGCCTGTTAGAAAACTACTAAATGCTAAAAATGGCAACTGTGACCTAAAGGTCATATTATGAGGTAATTGATGTAAGCAATTCATCTTTGAAATCAACAAATAACACAGACAGTTGTTGAATCATTAGAGGTGGTTGTAGTATTCACTCACAGCAAAAAGTAAAATACAAATGTAAAGCATTTGTTCCTTTGATTTAGAATCTGTGTTTTCACTAAAGACAGTCAGGTAATTTAGCCTGCTTTTCAGATGACATGGAATATGGGTGCTTTACCATACTTTTCGACTCTTTTTGCAATCAAACCTTTTGCTGAACATTTTAGAAGAAACTCTTAGTTTAGAAAATAAATTTAATTGAGAAATAAATATCATATTACGTTTAAATTATTTTGTTTTCATATGTAACCAAGGGAACAATATATGGATGGTGGTGGTTAAACTTTTCAATACTATGTAGATACCTCAGGAAATGAAGTCATCTACAAAGAAAACCTGAAAATAAAATAAATCATAAATTACGTATTTTCAAATCACAGTAAACATAATTAGGTTTCCGGGGAAAGCGTTTGGTCAGTGCCTGTAATCATTTTGTTCAATAGTTATGACATAAATTTAATAATTACAGTAATGTATGTATGATATTTGGAAGAGTTAAGTTTGCTAGCCATTATTATCTTGTCACTTTTAAAATGTCTTTTATAAATTTGCGTTTTGCATCCTAGCATGACAAATAATTATTGTAGTTTATGAGAGAAATGGATTGATTTTTTTATAGTCACAGGAAATAGCAGGGTTGGCAAAGCAAGCAAACCACAAGCATGATGCCCTTAAAAAACTAACAGATGACCTGCTACAAGTACAGGAAGACTTGAATGAAAAGAAAGAAGAAGAAGCTAAGAAAATAAAAAAGTTAGTTTTCTGAAAGGTTCAATTCTCAGTCCCCGAAGTCCGAAAACGGGGACTTATAATTCGGTCTCAGTGCGTTCGTCCGGAGTCATATCTCATAATCCCTTGGACCGATTCAGTTCATTCTTTGCATATGCCTAGTAATTTATATGGGACATATGCGCATGCAGTGGTTTAGCGATTCGATTAAAAATGGCCGAGTGGCAGCCATCTTGCTTTTTGAAAATGTTGTATTTTGGACATGCTTTGTCAGTTTTCATTCAAACTTGGTACATAGATTATACATGTTGAGATACATGTCCATGAAAATTTATTTCACAATTGGATCAAAGATGGCCGACTGGCAGCCATCTTGTTTTTTGAAAATGTCGTGTTTCGGACATGCTTTGTGTGTTTTCATTCAAATTTAGTACATATATCATACATGTTAGGATACATCCCCCCCCCCCCGATCGTCCATGAGTTCCTTAGTCCGTCCGTCCATCCGTGTGTCCGTCCGTCCGTGCGTCAGTCTGTCCAGAGTCATATTTCAGAATCCTGTGGACCGATTCCATTCATTCTTCGCACGTGCCTAGTACCTTATGTGGGACATATGCACATGCAGTGGTTTAGCGATTCGATTCAAAATGGTCGACTGGCAGCCATGTTGTATTTTGGACATGCATTGTCGGTTGTCATTCAAACTTGGTACATAGATTATACATGTTAGGATACATGTCCATGACAATTTATTTCACAATTGGATCAAAGATGGCCGATTGGCAGCCATCTTGCTTTTTGAAAATGTTGTATTTTGGACATGCTTTGTCAGTTTTCATTCAAACTTGTTACATAGATTATACATGTTAGGATACATGTCCATGACAATTTATTTCACAATTGGATCAAAGATGGCCGACTGGCAGCCATCTTGTTTTTTGAAAATGTTGTATTTTGGACATGCATTGTCGGTTGTCATTCAAACTTGGTACATAGATTACACATGTCAGGATACATGTCCAATATTTCGCAATTGAATCAAAGATGGTCAACTGGCAGGCATTTTGTTTTTTTGTTTTTTATGCGGTATCTTGGACGTGCTCTGTCAGTTTTCATTCAAATTTGGCACATACATGGACTTTATACATGTTAGGATGCATCTCCATGATAATTTGTTTCAAAATCTGGTCAAGGATGGCCGATTGACAGCCATCTGACTTTTTGGCCTTACTACTATATTTCCACAATTTATGTATCATTTTCATTCGTATTTGGAACATACATCATACATATCAATGTGTTTCATAATCAGATCAAAGATGGCTGAATAACGGCTGTTTTCATTTTCGGCCATATTACTACTACATGGAACACGTGTTTTGATGTAAATAAACAATCTGTTGTATACGCCACTTGGAACTCAAGTTTCAAGGACACGCTTGCAACAACCCCTTCGCTTTAATATGACAAGCACAAAGAAAACTTTCAAAAGTTTTGACGGGAACTGTGTCATTTTCAATGACTTGTTAGTTTTTAAAAATTTTGTTGTGAAACTGCTTTTTTAACTAACCCAACTTTGTATCTCCAGGATCAATGATTGGAAAAAACAGCTTGAAGCTTGGCAAAGGGAACTTACTGAGATTGGTGATGATGACAATGTTAGAGTAAGAACACCACAATTGTTATTTACTTGTTTTCATTTAACCTTTTCATCACCAGTTCCCTCTTTTCATCACAAATTTCTTCATAAGATTGGGACAAAAATAGCCAAATTTCTTTAGTAAAAACTGAAAATTGACTCAAATTTAGGGTTCATTCCCAGAATATAAGAAAAAAAAGAAAGAAAAATTTGGACAAGAAGGTCTAGTGGTGAAAAGGTTAAAGTCCTGGTATTTTTATTTTCCTATCAATCATCCCTGCAACTTTGCAATATTCATCTGTTTGTCCTAGATACATTTTCAAATGGGATTTATGGATTTGAAATAAGATTTAAAAAAAAAAAATAATTGGGTGAAATATGAAAATGATGAATTATTGAATCCTACAAGCGTTCTCCATCATATCATTTCCAATTTGAATATTGCCCCCAAACATAGTGGGACTTTCAAAATAAGTGTTTCCAACATTTAAACAAGCAGTTATTAAAGCAGGGGTGCCATCATCTGCGCATGCGTCAGATGGCCATAGCATGTCATTGTTTACAAAAAATCGTCTACCCATTAGCCTTTGTGTTTTTAGCGTTTTTTTGTGTTATTATCATCGTTTGGGACTCAATTCCTGCATGTGCGCAGGTGACGACCCTCTCGCTTTAACAAGCAGTGCTGGCAATGTCTTACAAACGTAGGAATATTGCAATGTTGTAAGTGAAATTATTAGTGAGAAAGTGATTTTTCTGATCAGTTTATTTCAGCTGTAAACATTATAGCACATGAGTGTCTTGTGGTTAAGGCTTAGAAGACCAATGAATGGAAATAATTTCTATCATTTTAACTTGAAGTATAATGAGGTGCATTAACTTTCACTAGTATTTAATTTTCCCTGAGGTTAAAATTCTCAGATTTGCCAGTAAAATAATGATGATTTTGCATATTCAGATGGATTACCAGATGTCACTTAAAAATTCAGTCAAAAATTGATGGCTTTACAGTATCTAAACAATGACGATGTGACATTGTATTTAATACTTCATTGAAATGAAAACATGGATAATTTCATGATGGATGGATAATATCTTGATATCAGTGTGGTTTATGATTAGCAATACCATGAGTTAAAGTTTAACTTTTCAACTGACTGGGAAAGAAAACTTTTCATATTTTGTTTTTGTTATACCTTGTAGCCTGAATTGGAAAACATTAATGCTCAACATCGTGACATCAATATGAAGATGCGTAGAATTGACACTGAAATGAATATTCTTGCCAAAGACAGATCAGATTTCAAAAAAGCTATTAAATGTATGAAGTGGTTTGTATATATTTTGACATGCAATAATGTTAAATGATTTATTACATTCTGTGTGATGAAATACAATGTACCGATAGTATAGTCGTTTGTCCTCTGTGTTGTTATTGTTAGCAATTTTTGTAATCTCAACTTGTATCGTTTGTTTCAATCACTGCTCATCTATTATTTTTGGTGAAAAATATTGTTGTCACTTCTTCAAAAACAATGAGTGTTCTCGCACTGTGTGCCCTTGTGCTAATTTCTGATGACGTATCTCATTCTTAGTTTTATGTTCATAGTTAAAAAAATGTGACCATGGCAAATTTCTGCCATCGATTTTGTGTATTCATTGCAGGGGTTTTTATAGGAAAATTTTTTAAGAGGGAGTACACCTTTGTTACCATTGGTAACAATCATATTTGTTATAACTGATCATAATCTACTGACTGTTCCAGGTTCTGCATGAGGGCGCTGCATCCCTATTCCCCCTGTCTGGAAGAACCCCGGCATTGAACTGATTAAAAGAAAATACTGAAAATTTCCTGACTTGAATGCAAAGCAAAACTGTGTTGCAAAATTGTCACATTTTAAATTTAATCAATTTTACCTCTCATGTCAAAGATATTTTAATGTATGATATTTTAATTACCCTATTGAATATAGCCCACAAAGATGAAATCCAGAAGTTGAACGACTTGAAAGATCAGCGAATGAGGGCGTTACAGAAGAGACATCGCGATACGTACAATGCTGTTCAGTGGTTACGAGCCAATAAAGACAGATTTAAGGCGACAATTCATGAACCTATGATTCTCACTGTAAGTGTGAACCGTATAAATCATCAACCTACAGCAAAACCTAGTTTACCGTGTCGGCATTCTGACACTGAAACATTCAGGAATAGCATGGCAGCCATTACCAGACAATGTTGTTGTTGGCTTTGTATTAAACTGACAGTGTTTCAATGACTGTTTTTGAAAAAAAAATATAATACGCAGAAATTCTTTTCTGAGCGGTATACAGTGCTGAATACTGTACATTCTTTTGATCACATATAATACAGGTTTTATTTTATCATTCCATTAATTGGAATATCTCTTCAAGGTGGCAATATTAATTACTAATAGATCTATACATTGAAGACAAAACTTTTCTCGTAATGAATATTTGAAACCCCTCAAGCACTAAATTAGAGTTTTGTCGCCATTCACAAAAAATAAACCTACATAATTATTTCAATATTTGTTTACAAATTTTGATCAAGAGCTGTAGCCAATCGGAAATTGTCTCGCATCTTAAGAAATTAACTCCACAAAGGCATTTCCTTCAATTCAAACTGAAACGAGAGTTTTCTTTTGGCTGGTTGAATAACATAACATTTTAAAATGACATCGTTGTTTACTGTGCTCAATGATTGAATTCAACCGCCACTGAAATTATAAATATTTATAAGGATGAAGAGATGGTTTTGTTGCACTGAGTACTGTAAAATACTTTTTGCTGAAGGAAAGATTCAGTGAAAAGAAAATCCAGCAAATATACCATTTTTCCTATATTTTACATTCAACTCATGAAAAATCAATGAAAATAAATTCCATACAAAACACCCAAAAAGTCTTTTCAGCGAAAATTTATTCCAGCTAAAATAAAGTATTTTACAGTATAACAATACTTAAAAATAGATTGAAATGTTTGTCAAAATGTTGGTGTTCAAAAGGTTTAAGTTAATACAATATTCTTCTCATTTCAGATCGACATGCATAATAGAGAGTATGCCAAGTATGTTGAGACGCATGTACCTGATAACGACTTAAGGGCATTTGTATGTGAAAATGCAGAAGATCAGGATGCTTTTATGAGAGAGGTATTACTGCTCTTGGGGAGTGTGCTTCCCCGCAGTGTTTTTACTGATCAGCATTATAAATGTCATCAAACATCTTTTATAAGTTTGGGAGAGTAGTCAGTGCCTTATTGGATTGGGATGGTAAAAGTTGAATGGTGATGTACATTCCTTCAACTAAACTAGCCAGTTAGTGGATGTGAATGGTATTCTTATTTATTCCCTGCTCAGTTTATCTGTGATGTAGCAAATATATTTGCATAGTACTTTTAATTGAGTGTATTTGCTAATGTTCATTTATTATTAATCTTAGATACGCGACACTCAACACCTGAGGGTTAATGCTGTGAAATCCCCAATGCAAGATCTGGAATCATTTAGACCACAGCAACCGATAGAACAGCTGAGGTCAGTATATTATAGCCTTGTTCTCACTCTGCGAAAAGTAGATTGTCATTTGCTGTTGCAAATATGCTGATTTTTAATGCAGTAAGATGAACAGTGACACAGCAAGAGCAGACTATTTGTTAGTAATTACAAATCTTTGATATTATTAGCATTATTAATGAGTTGATACCAGTAAAACTACATACAAGAAATTAAAATATGAAAGCAGTGTTTGGAATCTGGTCCACACCCTAAATGACAGTGTTACAAACCCTGGTACCATGCAATTGTTGTGACATTATCTGATTTAATTTGAGAACAATGCTTAAGGTAGCGAGATAGTTTTTTGGCATGGAAAATGTAAACATCTATAATCGGAGTAAATTTTACAAGAACCTATACAATCTATATATGTTTGGAAAGCCCTTGACTTGTACTTTTCTATTATTAATATTTTGTGAACACTGTGTTTGTTTTAGCGTCACGTGATTCTGAAAATCGGCGCGGCTGATAATTAACTAACGTGAATACATTTTTAAATGTCAGCTCTACGGTCATGCATGCGGCCAAAAACTTTACACTGTTTTGAAGCAAAGGTCATGAAGTTTAAATCCGTATTTCTATTTTTTAAATTAAGGTTTTTTTT